GTCCCCCCCCCCCCTGCGTCTCCCGCCCTGGCGCCGCTGCCGCCGGCTTAGCTCGCCCCCTGCGCGGCGGCCTCTTAGCAGCCAGGCTGCCCCAAGCCTCTGCGCGCCTCACCGCTAGCAGCCGACTAAAAAAAAGGCCTGGCCCCGCCCCGCGGCGGCCCCGCCCCCTTCCCGCCCAGGGGCGGGGACAGGCCGAGTCTCTGCGGCTCTCAAGCCCCTGGGCTTGCAGCCGGGACCCCTGGCTCTGCCTTCCCCCGGGGATGCCCAACCAAGCCTGCGCCCCTAGCCCACCTCGGTGAAGGGAAAGTTCGAACCCACCAAGGTTCACAGTCTGAAAATGACCCGTGGGACCCCTGAAACTCTGCCTAGAGACACACATGCCTGCGAGGTTTTGAGGGGGGAGGGCGCAGAAAAGTAAGGTTATGTGCGGACAGGGCCTGAGAGCTAGTCCTCTTTGCTGGGAATATTGTGGGAGGGAGGAGAGCTAGACAGGGACGAGTGGGGAGAAGGACACATAGATTTGTTGAAATCCCGGAGTGACCCCTGGCTTTCCCCCTTCTCCAACGCCCTCATCCCTTACACACACACACACATTGACACACGCGTCCTCACTCACGCAGACGCTGCTCTCCCAAGTTCACCCAGCTTCCCTGTGGTGGCCGAGCGCCCCCTAGCGGCTACTGTCTGCACACCCCAGCTCTGGTTCAAGAGGGATGGGAATTGGGTGGAGAAAGTTTACTCCTGAACCCCCAATTTTGACCTCCCAAACAATTGCATATTTAGAACTGAAATGGTTTCACGCACCAAGAACCCAGTACTGGGCGCGGGGTCACTGTGTCCATCCGCACAATGCCCCTCTACAGTCTTCAGCTGGCCTGCAGACAGCAGAGCAAGTTGCAGCCAGCAGGCAGGGTGACTGGGGTCCATCGGGAAGTGTCCAGAGAGGCTCCCTTGGGGAGAAGAATCTGGCGCCAGGTTTGTGGAGCTGAGAACCGGAAGCCGTGTGGTTCTGAGGTCAGTCAGTGACCCGCAGGGAAGAAGACCTGTCCGAGCCCACGTATGCACTGCAGAGTCTGGCAAAGCCCAAAGGGAGAGGCAGCTGGGCAGACAGAGGCCCTTGTTTCTGCTGCCCCCCCCCCCAGATGTTGCCAGGAAACTGAGGCCAGGGGGCTGGTGGGGGCGGATGAAGGCCAGGGCCTGAGTGATGATTCAAACCCAGCCACCAGCGCTGAGGAACGTCTTAGGCCAGCTGCCCAGAGCTCCCCCCAGGCTAGGGGCCAAGGCTTCTATCAGCCCCAGCCCAGCAAACCCCAAAGGGAGAGGCAGCTGGGCAGACAGAGGCCCTTGTTTCTGCTGCCCCCCCCCCCAGATGTTGCCAGGAAACTGAGGCCAGGGGGCTGGTGGGGGCGGATGAAGGCCAGGGCCTGAGTGATGATTCAAACCCAGCCACCAGCGCTGAGGAACGTCTTAGGCCAGCTGCCCAGAGCTCCCCCCAGGCTAGGGGCCAAGGCTTCTATCAGCCCCAGCCCAGGCCCACAGATCATCTTCTAAACCAAGCCGGAGGGTTCTGTCAGCCCCCGTTCCCTCAGGATCCCTTGACTTCTCCATTCTCCCTTCCCTTTCTCCCAATCCCCTCCCTCCCCTCAAAGCCCCCTTTTCCTCCAACTCCCCATGTCTTCCCTAAGTGCTCCCCAAGGCCCCCCACCCCCTTGCATATAGGAACCAGCCTGGAAAAATTCCTGGTTGGGCTTTGGCCCAGCTGTTCCCGGGCTCCCCCAGGGAACAAAGGGGGTCTCTGATACCTGGAGAAGAAAAGGACCCACCAGACTCATTGTCCACCCAGACCTGGCCTGGGGCTGATGTAGCCTTTGCTGAAAAGGGGCCCTAGGCTAAGAAGGGAAAGCAGCAGTTGCCCAAAACACCCAAGGAAATTACTCGGCCAGGCTCCCTCCTTCCACGCGCCGTGTGGGGGTTCTAAGTTACCTCCTTGGTTCCCAAGTCAGTGCAGTGGTCTCCTGAGGGCCCTGTGAAAAGATGGCTGGCTCCTACCCCATCCCACCCTTTCCGTCATTCATGCTCCAGTCCTGTCCACCACCCAGCAAGCTCCCCAGCAACAGGGACAAGGTCTTTTCACCATTAGTAAATGTTTATTTGCAGGCTCAGGGCTCCCTCCCAGGCATGCCTCCTCACCTGGGCTCCATGCTTCAAGCCGCTGAGTGGAATATGGAACGGAAGTCCCTAACCACCCTCCTTCCTGCTCTGCCCCTGGAGCACCAAATGCAGGCACTTTGGTGGGGATCCCCTCCTTTATCCCTACCCTGGAGCACAGAGGACAGAGGCTCTAGGACCAGGGCTCCCTCTGGTCCCCTCACCTGCATGCCTTCTCATCTCATCCTACTCTAGTCCCTAGAAAGGCAGTAGGCCTGATGAGGAGGTCTTAGTGAAGGACCCTGCCATTAGGGAGCCTGGAGGGGTCCCAAGGAGGACTAGCCATCCACTGTGCACCACGGCCCAGGGCTCGCCACCCCCACCTGAGCCAACCATCCCCCCGTGGTCTACAGCAGGGGCGTTGCAACAGTCTATCTGAGGTTCGCTCTGCCTAGGGAAGCAGGTGAGTCGGGGTGCCGCATTTCCTTTATAGAGAGGAGGGTAGCGACCTGACCCGAGAGGTTTCTGAGCAACCTTCGCTAGAGTGGGCATGGGTCTCCACCTTCAGCCTTCATTTTGGGGACACAACCCGGGTGGCTCAGAGGAGGGGTCACCGCTGGATCCCATCCTCCAGTGTGGTGTCACCAGCTTTCACAATGATACCCTGTCATGGACCCAGCTATGCCTGTACTGTCACCAAACTAAAAGTTCAAATCATCCGGGTCTTCAAAAAAAAGAAAAAGAAAAAGAAAAAATACACATAAACATATAAAACAAGCATACAACCACATTTTGTCCCCATGGTACCTTCTCTTCCCATGGACTTAATCCTCTTGAACAAACTCGATTCCATTTATCTTCCCTGCCAATATGGCTAAAAGG